ATCTTTGTGTCCAAATCTTCTAAATGCCAAGGCTATTGATTTTCTCACGAGGCTATATGGATTAATCCAGTGACATGTAACTTCTAGAAAACTTTTTCTTTTCGGCAACATTATTTTTATATAGATTTTCTATCTGCCGAATCAATTCTACTACTTATCATTCTAATGCCATCATCTACAATTTATAATATGTACATTTATATGTATAATGTAATTAAATTTATTTCAGCATTAATTAATAACATCGAGAAAATAAAGTTTAAAATTTTAGCTGCTTATCTCGAATGATTACCAAGATATGTAATGTCACATTTTGAAAAATTAGCCAAAATCGGTCAACTTTAACTGTCACAATTCAATTATTTTTCTGTGTTTATATTAAATAATTTTAATGATTTTATATCGGAAGTATCTGTGGTTAAGAATGATTAGTAATATTATATCTAAAATTTTACATAATTTAGTTCCTCGATCTCATCAATGATATCGATGATAAAAAATGTCACAAAAGTAAAATTTGTTGACATAAAATGACTTGTACGCAATATGCAACCGTTTCTCATTTAATTTCAATGAATCGATTTTAACAATCCTATCTAAAGTTTAATTTATTATTATTATTATTATTATTTATATAAATTATTGGTCGAAGAATTCTTATTATCGTTATCAATAATAGAAATATCATTAGTGTGATGCTTTCTCAAGAATTCTATTAACAATTTACTTGCTCTCTCTCTCTCTATCCGCTCACGTCTTGTACTCGATTACTGGCGTAATCATTCGCTAATGAGCGCAGGGTGGCAAGCGATCGCATAAACGGTTGCAATACTAGGATCAGTAATTGAGAAAGAAAACGTATCTGCTGAAGAGATACGGAGAGTTTTCTATTTCCCTAGCGTCGTACTTGGTAGAAAATAGAACAGCAAAATGATAAAAAGGCAATTAGACTGGAAAAGAAAGGCAGGAGGGATAATAGAGGTAGCAGATTAGAAACAGATCTTAAAACTGAAAATTACTGATTGCTGATACGAGAAACTCTTTCGAATAAGCACATGGCTTTTCTCATCCAATAGTTTGATATAGATTCTAGGTCTCTTACTATCCGTTTATCCAACCGGGTACCTGAAATACTCATTGCAACTGAAGTTTGGATTCGAAATCAGGATCTGAATATCCGAGTATCCGGATTGGTATCTTTTCCATTGATGGTTTCAAGTAAATTAATTTTTATTTGGATGAGAACACATGAAGTTTTAGTAAAATAATTAATACAAAAATTGTTGAACATTTTGTACGTATTAGACTACTAAAGTAACAATTCTCTATTTTGGTATAAAAAATAATGATGATGCTGGTTTACATATGTTTTTACTAAGGTATATAATTTTCGGTTCTACTATATAAATTTCAAATTCACTAATCGAATTCGCTTCGATATTGTCTCTTGCAAAAGTGAAATTTAAAGCACTCTTTTCTTTCGTTTTTATACTTTGAGGCGTATCATTATCTTCCATATTTTGTACACTCTTTTTGGTTCGAAATCAATATTCTTATAATGAGGATCCAAGAACGAAGGAATATTGTTAGATTTTACAAATTTGATTGCAATTCAATTCTTGATGTTAGATCAATTGAAACAATTGTTTAAAATTGTATTATTATATCGCAATGGTGCTTTATTTATAATACATGTATACCATGGATTATAGGGCGTATGATTATCACATTCTTATAAAAATTAAGGGCTTCAAAATCTTTATTGGATCTTCAAGAAGAGTCCAGATATTCTCAGTCATTTCTCAATTTTTTTTATGTTTGTTTTCGTTGTACCTCGATCCGAAATAACAGAAATAACTGCTGATCTTTTCTTAAAAAGATAAATAATGAAAAGTAAAATTCCATGGAGCTGGACAACTCATAAGTAACTTTAATTGTGGAATGTCCAATTGATTTCGTTTTTCTTCTAGTGTAATTGTAGCTAAAGGAGATTGCCGAAAATGACTCACAATTTTGCTGTTTTTTGTGCACATATATTCAATTTACTTTATAATGAGTCTTTTTTTATCTTCAATTGAATTGTGTGAGTGGTAGGAGATGTCCCAGTTTTCGTGCCTACGCCAGTTTTCGTGCCCCCGATTAAAAACGTATAGAAAAAGAGAAGAGTTATATATAAATTGATAATCTACTTTTTTATTGTATTATTTCTATTTTAACATGTAAGATTCAGGGAGGGGTATTACATTTTTCATATGTTAAAATATAATGAACATTTTTCAATTGATGGTACAGCAGTTCTGAAGAATTTAAGTACGGTAATTTCTCCCTAATTCACGCTCAGATTGCGCATAAAAATGGACAATTTAGGAAGACGAGATACGATTATTCGAGCCTTGCATCTCGTTTTTATAATTGTCGACAAGCGAGGCTCGAACAATTGCTCCTGAAAGGGCACAGAATTATGTCTAGAAACACTTTTTTTTATTTCATTAGAAACATTATTAAATTACTAATTTTTATCATGCAAAAAAATATATTCAAAATAAAAAATGTTTGAAAAATCGAAATATATTTTTAGTGCATTAAATGAAAATTCTAGTGTTTAATGAAAGTTTCGGCAAAGCAAAAATTGGCTAAAGGACACGGTAATTGGGACATCTATTCTATACATCGCTCGACAAACCGTAATTCAGCTGGAATCGCGTATGTGCAAAGTGAATTTTCAAACTCGATTTTCTCGAAAACTAGATTCCAAACAAAAAAAGTTATTCTATATTTTTTTCATGTTTTTTAAAATGAGGAATTACCCAGTTCCCGCTTGTACAGGGAACCTTGTTTGAGGAACACCCTGTATAGTTGATTTCAGGTGTTGATGGTATTGTCCTTAGCATGGATTGAAGTGTTGGTTCTGATTGTGGGTGTTGTTTCATTCAGTCTTGATTTACGTTGCTATTCTCATTACTAGACAGCGGATCTTTAGGCATAAAGTCGATATATTGCCTATAACATGTCGATATATGCAAGATGTATGCAAAATGTATGCAACAAAATTTATTTATTATAGTTTAAATTACAGTACGTTACAATGGCTTTTTCCATATTATCAGTCATTAAATTGTGTATTTACAAAACAACGGTATTCACAAAACGTGCAATAGTTGCATGATCTGTTTCCAGTTTAACGGTAGGGTTTCTTGATTCTCGCATAACTTGCCCACAATTAAGTTCGCTATGTAACGACCAGTTACATCTGCCGTCTCATTCACTAGAATCCACATGTAATTGTTGCCAATATCTTCCCGAATTTTTTCAACGGTCAAATGATAGCAATTCTCTAAATAATTTTTGCGAAACGTTGATTCATTTGGTATAACTTATATATTTTTTTCAAAAATCTTGCACTATAAGCAATATTTTTATTACATTCTGTAACATTTTTCTTGTGTTATACTCCTTGTTATACTCCTGTGTCTAAATGATGTTTTATTTGCAATCTTCTGTAACACTGAATCTGTTTTTCACATATTTTGCAGTACATCTATTCTCTCTCTACGCTAACAAGGGTCATCTTTCACAGATTCAATCCAACTAGATATCATTGCTATGTTTACTATTTTTCGATTTAGAATTTTAGACGACTGAATTTTTATCATCAGATGGCTCGGCATTTCAATTGGAACATGTGCTACAGGATTATTAGTGATTATACGCGATATGGCGTGTTTAGCTGCCTGTTGAAGAGTGCAAATAAAGTTAATAGTGGATTTCTCTAGCTGAGCGTGGGTTTTTTTAAATTTATATTTAAGTTTATATTTTAATTTAGGGGTAGTTCCGGTAACAATCCCAATTAGTTTTAGAATTATGTAACCCGAGAACTTTTTTGTAGTTTATTAGGAAGTGTGGTCCGACGATAAATCTTGATTAGATTCTACATGCAAGCATGAGTTGCAGATTCCATTAGTAATAAAAAAATCCAAAAGATCTGGTATTTTTTGTTACTGTCTTGCAGCTCTGTATTTGGTGGAAAGCTGTTCTGCTAATTGAAACAAGAACTCTTTTCGTTGTATTTGTATTCCTATCGTTTCTTTGTAAAGGATTCAAGCATTTATAGCAGCCAAATCTAAAATATTGAAAAATATTTGGGTGGGCCATCTACGAGAACTAGCTCTTACTGTATATTTTCTGGCCATTTGACCCGCTATATCAACTTCAAATTTTGTGCTGTTATAAAATTGAATAGATTCCGGTAACATTTTTTTATTACTTTTATCAATTTTCACAAATTTATGCTTAGAACTTAGAACAGCTACTCTTTTATTTGGATTGCTTTTATATATTGTAAGAACACAATTCTCTGATTTATATAGCAGAGTAGAAAAACGAGGCATGTTATCCTTCGTTTGTTTGGTTGCTTTTGGTAGTTCTCTTTTGTTTCCTCTAATAGTTCCAACTAGAGTTGTTTTTTTGGCTAATAATTTTGTCACGAGTGACATACTAGTGAAAAAGTTATCGGTCGTAATATTTCTTTCACAGCTTGTATATGGCTCGACAAGTTTCAGAACAACGTGTTCACTGAGAAGCATTGACGATGATCGTTGTTCAACTTTTCCCAAATAAGGAAAACCATTCAAAACATATTTACTACTAACATCTGATGCAAGCCAGAATTTGATGCCAAATTTGTTGGGTTTATTAGGCATATACTGTGTAAATCTGTGCACCTGTCTTTTGAAGGAAATAATTGCTCGTCAACTGTTATATTTTGTCCTGGTTGATAGCAAGCTTGACTGTTTTCAATGAACTTATCCCATATTTTCGAAACCAAGGCAAATTTATTTGTTTGTTGGCTCCTACTTCTTTTGGTTCTTTTGTTAAAACGAATAAATCGTAGGATTTGCTTGAAGATTTCTCTGGTCATAGTTTTTCTAAAAAATTCGGGACCCCAATTTGCTGATCATAAATAACTCAATTTTAAATTTTTTGCCTCGTAAGCTCCACGAGCATATAAAATCCCAATAAATGCACGTATTTCCGGTAATGATGTCCAATCGTTTCTCAAAATTCGGCTACCTTCTTCTTCTTTGCACTTTTTTATATGTTTGATAATATGGTTATCTATTATCAACGAGAATGCACTGATAAGATTATCTGCTATAATGTTCCTTTTTGCGTAGCCTGTTGGTCCTTTCACACCCTTGAAAATACAAGTAGATGGTAACCCAGGAATACCACCTTCGTCAAATTTTGACCACACAGTACCATCGGCAGCTGTTTCGGTCTCCTGAAAGGTGTTTTCAGTTTCTTCATCAGAGTCTGAACTACTTAGCACCCTACACCTTTTCCTGAGCATATTGATGACACTTTCATTTTCATCATTGATGATCGACTCTTCATCGCTATCTTCAGTTTCAGATGTTTGACTTTGTATATGAACCGTTTCATCTTCAGATGATAGTTCAGAATTTATTGCATTTGATTCTATATCGGAGCACTCTTTACTTATGTTCATTAGCTTTTCCAATAACTCACTACTATTCGATATTTTTTTCATGAATTTAGGGCGCAAATGATATAAAATAAATAACTTATCAGAACAAGTACCACTGAATAAAGATACGAATAACAAGTACTACTTTAACTTATTGAGCAACTGCAACTTATCTAGTATATGCTCAAATCGACAATTTATCATGTACTTGTATGTTATCATGTAACGGTAATCGAAAAAAATGAAAAATGTTATTTCAATACAGAGCCGAACTGGTCATATAAGAAATTTACTCAATTCAATAATAAGAGTCATTTGATTATTTTAAATTTCCCAAGCAGTCAGAACGACTACTTTTGGGCAATATAGGTATAACATACATACACACACACACGCGCGCGCGCGTATATATATATGTACCGGAAATGAAGGGGGGAGGAGGTAACTACAATTATTAATAAACGCATTTATACGTTGTACAAAAAGTCTCAAAATTCTAAGAAATTGTATCATTATATACATAATTTTTTTTCTAATTGAAATTAACACTTTGTTGGCCGCTTATTTCTTGCATCGCCTTTATGCTGCCGCCAGCGAATTTTGCGCGGATTCTACTGTTACCGACGGTGATATTTACGCTATCCGTCGTACATGGGGTATGGTTATTATTAAAAATGGCACTAAAATTAGTGTTACACATAAATTTTAATGCATATTTTTATATCCCAAAATTATCACTTATATTACTTACAAAATAAATTTTAGGTTTAATATTTTACTCTTGTATGGTAAATTGTGAAACATTTTCCCGCATGCAAAGGTACTTTACAGGACGAATACATGTACGAAGTGGAACTTCTTTTTTTTAGGCAGAACAAACTTTGCAAGCCCTTCGCGGGTTTTCAATTCTTCCCCTGCCAATAATTCTTATTATGGTGTGTTGTCTCATATCCGCAGAAAGCCTGTCCAATGGATCATGTCTCGGCAATCTAATATTGCATTGAATATGTGATCCTGACTCTGGCATCGCTTTATTTACGCCAATCCATGAACATGCGACATCCATTAAACATTTTTTAAACCTGATATGATTTCCGGAACTTTTTACATAAACATGATACGCATTAAATAATTCGCAGTTTATTAGATACAGAACTGTCTTCTTTGTCCATTTTTTGCACTTCAGTAAAATAGAATAATACGCCAGCTATTGATCCGCGCAATCACACCTTTCATAAATTTGTTGTACTCCAGGACACACACAAATTGGCTTCATACCCTTCTTTTGTGTTCGTTTACTTATACATTCGACCATACTCGCTGAATGAATTGTGGAAATCATAATTATCAATTTTTTGGATGATTTCCATATTTGTATCAAGATATTTCTTTTTCTACGAAATGTCATAGTCGTATCTTTCAAAGTATTAGTTTTCAAACAATTTGGCACACCTCTGTTTTTTCTTATTGTACCACAGATGTTTGTTTTACGTTTGAGTAATTCCTCTGCGACCTTCACACTATTATAATAATTATCCATATATATATATATATATATCATGCCAAAGATCTAAATATGGCGATAGTACGGAAAATATTGTTGTAATTAGGGACTTTTCCTTCTGCACAATATATTTCTAAGTTACATATATAGCCGGATGACCCCTCACACACCATTCACACCAAAAGTCCGTACTTTATAATTTTTCAGGGTTATACATACGGAAGGGCAGTCTTCCCCTCCATGGAATGATACTTTCATCCAATGATAAGTCCTTCTCAGGCTTATAAACTTTTTGAAATTTATCTTTGAGTTTTACGTAAACCGGTTTTATTTTATCTAGCTTTCCGCGGCAGTTCTCATTATTATTGAAGTGCCAATACCTCCATAATTGTCGGAATCTGTTTCTTGGCATTGTATTTCCGAAAATTGGTGAATATAATACTGTATGCGTCGACCAGTAATCGTCCCACTCTGGTTTTTTCCAAAATATTCTGCATTTTCTGCATTAGCTGTGTACTTTTCGTAACCCTGATTCAACGGAATGTAGATGCTCTTGCCTCTTGTAGGCTAAATCTTGTATATATAATAAATTTTCTGTATATATTTTTCTTGCCTAATACAATAAAACTCGTCCTTATTTTTCCTTATTTCCACGCCTAGGTAGTGTTTGAGTGATCCAAGGTCTTCGAGACTAAAATGCTCCTTTAAAAAACTCGTCGCTTTGTCGATTTTACTTGTTTTCTTTTCTCTAAAATGTCGTATACGTTAATGATAAGTTAAACTTGTTAGTAAGTATCATAAGTTATGATATTATCAGTTAAACTTGCTCACCGCAGTCGTCCTTAATGTATAGGAACGCATTTGTTTGGCTTTGTTTGAAACCATTCTTCTTTAATAACTCATTCAGTTGCTCATTCGAAACTCTGTCAGCTTGTTTCAAACCGTAAATACCAGCCTGTCCACCTTCCATGTCCCTAGGAAGTATCCCAGAATAAGACATGTATTTAAAAGGTGGGCGACCCAAGAGCCCAGACTACAGCCGAGGAGATGCCATCGACGCCCGCCGCCCGTCTCTTTACCCTCCTAGTTGCGGCCTGTACCCTCTGCTCGAACATGGGGGGGGGGGGGTCGTCTATCCCATTTTGCGGCTGGTAATCGTCGGGAACCTGGACAGGTTCCTCGTCTGGCGGACTAGTGATAAACAGCCTTGTAAGCTCAGTGGTAGTCTCATCGGGGCCGAGCCTTGAGGACTTTTACCACCCATCGATAGACCTGCCCCCATACGTCCGCCTCAACCCCGAAAACAAACGATCTCCAGGCCCTGTTCTTGGCATTGGCGATGGTTCTAGCGAGGTCCTTCTTTAGGACCTTATGTATGGCCAGGTGGAGTTCCTCCGCCTGACCCTTTGNGGTGGAAAGCTGTTCTGCTAATTGAAACAAGAACTCTTTTCGTTGTATTTGTATTCCTATCGTTTCTTTGTAAAGGATTCAAGCATTTATAGCAGCCAAATCTAAAATATTGAAAAATATTTGGGTGGGCCATCTACGAGAACTAGCTCTTACTGTATATTTTCTGGCCATTTGACCCGCTATATCAACTTCAAATTTTGTGCTGTTATAAAATTGAATAGATTCCGGTAACATTTTTTTATTACTTTTATCAATTTTCACAAATTTATGCTTAGAACTTAGAACAGCTACTCTTTTATTTGGATTGCTTTTATATATTGTAAGAACACAATTCTCTGATTTATATAGCAGAGTAGAAAAACGAGGCATGTTATCCTTCGTTTGTTTGGTTGCTTTTGGTAGTTCTCTTTTGTTTCCTCTAATAGTTCCAACTAGAGTTGTTTTTTTGGCTAATAATTTTGTCACGAGTGACATACTAGTGAAAAAGTTATCGGTCGTAATATTTCTTTCACAGCTTGTATATGGCTCGACAAGTTTCAGAACAACGTGTTCACTGAGAAGCATTGACGATGATCGTTGTTCAACTTTTCCCAAATAAGGAAAACCATTCAAAACATATTTACTACTAACATCTGATGCAAGCCAGAATTTGATGCCAAATTTGTTGGGTTTATTAGGCATATACTGTGTAAATCTGTGCACCTGTCTTTTGAAGGAAATAATTGCTCGTCAACTGTTATATTTTGTCCTGGTTGATAGCAAGCTTGACTGTTTTCAATGAACTTATCCCATATTTTCGAAACCAAGGCAAATTTATTTGTTTGTTGGCTCCTACTTCTTTTGGTTCTTTTGTTAAAACGAATAAATCGTAGGATTTGCTTGAAGATTTCTCTGGTCATAGTTTTTCTAAAAAATTCGGGACCCCAATTTGCTGATCATAAATAAATCAATTTTAAATTTTTTGCCTCGTAAGCTCCACGAGCATATAAAATCCCAATAAATGCACGTATTTCCGGTAATGATGTCCAATCGTTTCTCAAAATTCGGCTACCTTCTTCTTCTTTGCACTTTTTTATATGTTTGATAATATGGTTATCTATTATCAACGAGAATGCACTGATAAGATTATCTGCTATAATGTTCCTTTTTGCGTAGCCTGTTGGTCCTTTCACACCCTTGAAAATACAAGTAGATGGTAACCCAGGAATACCACCTTCGTCAAATTTTGACCACACAGTACCATCGGCAGCTGTTTCGGTCTCCTGAAAGGTGTTTTCAGTTTCTTCATCAGAGTCTGAACTACTTAGCACCCTACACCTTTTCCTGAGCATATTGATGACACTTTCATTTTCATCATTGATGATCGACTCTTCATCGCTATCTTCAGTTTCAGATGTTTGACTTTGTATATGAACCGTTTCATCTTCAGATGATAGTTCAGAATTTATTGCATTTGATTCTATATCGGAGCACTCTTTACTTATGTTCATTAGCTTTTCCAATAACTCACTACTATTCGATATTTTTTTCATGAATTTAGGGCGCAAATGATATAAAATAAATAACTTATCAGAACAAGTACCACTGAATAAAGATACGAATAACAAGTACTACTTTAACTTATTGAGCAACTGCAACTTATCTAGTATATGCTCAAATCGACAATTTATCATGTACTTGTATGTTATCATGTAACGGTAATCGAAAAAAATGAAAAATGTTATTTCAATACAGAGCCGAACTGGTCATATAAGAAATTTACTCAATTCAATAATAAGAGTCATTTGATTATTTTAAATTTCCCAAGCAGTCAGAACGACTACTTTTGGGCAATATAGGTATAACATACATACACACACACACGCGCGCGCGCGTATATATATATGTACCGGAAATGAAGGGGGGAGGAGGTAACTACAATTATTAATAAACGCATTTATACGTTGTACAAAAAGTCTCAAAATTCTAAGAAATTGTATCATTATATACATAATTTTTTTTCTAATTGAAATTAACACTTTGTTGGCCGCTTATTTCTTGCATCGCCTTTATGCTGCCGCCAGCGAATTTTGCGCGGATTCTACTGTTACCGACGGTGATATTTACGCTATCCGTCGTACATGGGGTATGGTTATTATTAAAAATGGCACTAAAATTAGTGTTACACATAAATTTTAATGCATATTTTTATATCCCAAAATTATCACTTATATTACTTACAAAATAAATTTTAGGTTTAATATTTTACTCTTGTATGGTAAATTGTGAAACATTTTCCCGCATGCAAAGGTACTTTACAGGACGAATACATGTACGAAGTGGAACTTCTTTTTTTTAGGCAGAACAAACTTTGCAAGCCCTTCGCGGGTTTTCAATTCTTCCCCTGCCAATAATTCTTATTATGGTGTGTTGTCTCATATCCGCAGAAAGCCTGTCCAATGGATCATGTCTCGGCAATCTAATATTGCATTGAATATGTGATCCTGACTCTGGCATCGCTTTATTTACGCCAATCCATGAACATGCGACATCCATTAAACATTTTTTAAACCTGATATGATTTCCGGAACTTTTTACATAAACATGATACGCATTAAATAATTCGCAGTTTATTAGATACAGAACTGTCTTCTTTGTCCATTTTTTGCACTTCAGTAAAATAGAATAATACGCCAGCTATTGATCCGCGCAATCACACCTTTCATAAATTTGTTGTACTCCAGGACACACACAAATTGGCTTCATACCCTTCTTTTGTGTTCGTTTACTTATACATTCGACCATACTCGCTGAATGAATTGTGGAAATCATAATTATCAATTTTTTGGATGATTTCCATATTTGTATCAAGATATTTCTTTTTCTACGAAATGTCATAGTCGTATCTTTCAAAGTATTAGTTTTCAAACAATTTGGCACACCTCTGTTTTTTCTTATTGTACCACAGATGTTTGTTTTACGTTTGAGTAATTCCTCTGCGACCTTCACACTATTATAATAATTATCCATATATATATATATATATATCATGCCAAAGATCTAAATATGGCGATAGTACGGAAAATATTGTTGTAATTAGGGACTTTTCCTTCTGCACAATATATTTCTAAGTTACATATATAGCCGGATGACCCCTCACACACCATTCACACCAAAAGTCCGTACTTTATAATTTTTCAGGGTTATACATACGGAAGGGCAGTCTTCCCCTCCATGGAATGATACTTTCATCCAATGATAAGTCCTTCTCAGGCTTATAAACTTTTTGAAATTTATCTTTGAGTTTTACGTAAACCGGTTTTATTTTATCTAGCTTTCCGCGGCAGTTCTCATTATTATTGAAGTGCCAATACCTCCATAATTGTCGGAATCTGTTTCTTGGCATTGTATTTCCGAAAATTGGTGAATATAATACTGTATGCGTCGACCAGTAATCGTCCCACTCTGGTTTTTTCCAAAATATTCTGCATTTTCTGCATTAGCTGTGTACTTTTCGTAACCCTGATTCAACGGAATGTAGATGCTCTTGCCTCTTGTAGGCTAAATCTTGTATATATAATAAATTTTCTGTATATATTTTTCTTGCCTAATACAATAAAACTCGTCCTTATTTTTCCTTATTTCCACGCCTAGGTAGTGTTTGAGTGATCCAAGGTCTTCGAGACTAAAATGCTCCTTTAAAAAACTCGTCGCTTTGTCGATTTTACTTGTTTTCTTTTCTCTAAAATGTCGTATACGTTAATGATAAGTTAAACTTGTTAGTAAGTATCATAAGTTATGATATTATCAGTTAAACTTGCTCACCGCAGTCGTCCTTAATGTATAGGAACGCATTTGTTTGGCTTTGTTTGAAACCATTCTTCTTTAATAACTCATTCAGTTGCTCATTCGAAACTCTGTCAGCTTGTTTCAAACCGTAAATACCAGCCTGTCCACCTTCCATGTCCCTAGGAAGTATCCCAGAATAAGACATGTATTTAAAAGGTGGGCGACCCAAGAGCCCAGACTACAGCCGAGGAGATGCCATCGACGCCCGCCGCCCGTCTCTTTACCCTCCTAGTTGCGGCCTGTACCCTCTGCTCGAACATGGGGGGGGGGGGGGGTCGTCTATCCCATTTTGCGGCTGGTAATCGTCGGGAACCTGGACAGGTTCCTCGTCTGGCGGACTAGTGATAAACAGCCTTGTAAGCTCAGTGGTAGTCTCATCGGGGCCGAGCCTTGAGGACTTTTACCACCCATCGATAGACCTGCCCCCATACGTCCGCCTCAACCCCGAAAACAAACGATCTCCAGGCCCTGTTCTTGGCATTGGCGATGGTTCTAGCGAGGTCCTTCTTTAGGACCTTATGTATGGCCAGGTGGAGTTCCTCCGCCTGACCCTTTGTACATGCCTTCTGGCCGCAATGATCAGCCCTGGATGGCCACCACCTCCTCATTCTATTACCACACCGGTTTTTTGGCCAAGAGCGCCGTATGCGGGGGACGAGAGTCCACCAAGTTGCCGATTGTGCTGACATAAGCATCAACGTCCTCTTTACTGGATATTTGAAGGGGATCAAACACCGCCGCGTAACTTTTGTATAAGTGAATGAATCTCTTGGTGCTGACGTGTAAAATGTACAGGCTGTCTCAACATCTAAGATAGAGCTACAGATCAATCTGCGATAGGTAACATGACCGCACAGCATGAAATCGATCAGGGAGCGTCGGAACACATGCTGGAAGGTGCGTGTTTATAGCTTTTAATTGCTTTCTCACATTCCTGGTTCTCACATTCCTCTATACCAGGGGTTTCAAACTCAAAAGCTAACTTGGGCCAAATAAACAATGCTTAACTTTAGGTGGGCCGCAAAAAAAAAATTAGTTCATAGAAACAAATATTTTTATTTTGATTAGTACATTGTAATAAACATATACAAAGTTAAATTATTGTTTACGTACTGATACTTGACATCTCTTCTCTGATACTATCTTTTCTATTTCGGGAGAAATTTTATTAGCCGGAGACTACTTTCAAAATTGACCCAACGTGAGATTAATACAGTTTCGGACAGGAGATTTATTTCCATTCATAACAGAAAATAATTGCTCGCACTGATAAGTACTTCCAAACATGGAAATAATTTCATATGTGAATTTTCGAGTATTTTCAAATCTTGCCGGTAAATATTTGTAAAATTCAGGCACACCCACTTCAATGAATTTTGCCTTCAAATTTGAGTCGCACTGAATCTCAATCACTTCCATTTGCATATTACTGGGTACTGAGTCTATATTTATTGAGAAAATCGAAGAAAACAAATAAAATTTGTCTTCCAAAGAATTAAAATCTTTAAACCTTGTTTCAAATTCTGTTCTAAAATTTGAAATTTCTTCTGCGTATTTTTGATACGATGCAGTATCATCTAAACTAGATTTGTTCTTGTTGCACGTTGGGAAGTGCGTTAAATCTTCATTTTTCAGTTGCCTTTCTCAAAGAAATAGTTTACATTTGAATGCTTTAATTATGTCAAACATGTTCGTAATGATCTAATCCTTGCCTTGTAACAATAAATTTAAATCGGATAAGTGTTTGTTTTTTATCAACCATAAAAGATAAATCTTGCAACCATATTTGATCGGAGAACAAGCTTGTATCTTGATTTTTAGTTTGTAAAAACTTACATATTTCTTCTTTCAAATCCCAGAATTGTTTGAGAACCTTGGAGCAAGATAACCAACGTACCTCGCTATAGTAGGATAAACCTGAATATGTACTATCTAATTCACTTAAGAAAGCAGTGAATTGTCGTTGATTTAAGTCTCGAGATCTTATAAAATTTATAACTATTTTTATATATGATAAAACATTCTCCATTTTGATTACCTTCGTGCATAGTACTTCTTGATGTATAATGCAATGCGTATGATGAATTATTGAATCGTCAATTTCACTAA